CCAGAATGTCAAGTGACACCCTCAAGGTTTGAAGTGGAGCACAAGGGAGACGACCCTGACTTTTCCGGGAGGCACACTCTGTACATTGTCTACACCACTGCTTCACATTTCCAAACCACCCCACCCAGTAAAAGCGATCCTTCACCTTTCCCTGCAATTTCTGTATCCCTAAATGGCCACCAGTAGGGGAATCATGCAACTGAGCTAAAACTTTAGGAACCAGAGCCTGGGGAAGGACCACCTGCGATGCAGCATCTGAATCTTTAATAACCAAAAAAATTATTACACTGGTGGCAGTGTAATAATTTTCACCTAGATATCAGCGGGTTAACATGGGAGGAGGTGAGGAATGAGCTCAGCAGTCAAGCAAGTCAGGAGCAAGCACGGGTTGGATAATATTAATAATGGTCCTCTTGCTACTATGGAATGCTAGAAGTTTATTGGCCAATGGACAGAAATTTAAAAAGTACATGAGCTCCCCAATAAACCAGATGTCATTTGTGTACAGGAAACGTGGTTGAGACCAAATTTAGATTTCAGGATAGTAGGACATGCCTCTGTTAGGTGTGATGGGGGGATGGAGTAGGGGGAGGATGTGCAATATTTATTGGGAATGATGTTTCATTTAGAGAAGTGAGTGTAGGGGGAAAAGAGCAAGAATATGTTACTGTAGAGATATGGACAAGTGAGGGAGAGTTTGTAATTATAAACTATAATCCTTGTAGGAAATTAGAGTTGGAGTGGCTAACACAAATGGTGGGGCTGGATGGTAGTAGGGTGGTCGTATGTGGGGACTTAATGCACATGGCACGTTATGGGGAGGAGTAAGAACAGATGCAAATGGTGAGGTAATAGAAGAACTGCTAGAAGAGAGGAACATGGTTTGCTTAAATGATGGGAGAGGGACTAGAGTAGATATGCACATAGGGAACACGTTGGTATTAGATTTAACTTTAGTTTCTAGGAATTTAGTGGGAATATGTGAGTGGGATCGATCAGAAGAAACATCAGTAGGTAGTGATCATTTTCCATTATGGTGTAGTGTTTTATTACAAAAAAATAAGAAGCAAGGGGAATTACTGCATTTAGCAGTGCAAAATGGGAAAGGTTTTAATTTATATGTGAGATAGAAATGGATAAAATTGATCTAAATGAGGAAATAGAGAAGATTGATAAAAAGCTTAAAACAACAATACTACAAGCTGCCAAAGAGAAAGGCAGTTCCCTGGTGGACAGACAGAGTGTGGGAAAGTAGTGAAAGAAAGGAATAAAGCCCTGAGGTTATTAAGAAGAACCCATAATTTAATTAAATATAAAGAAACACAAGCAAAGCAAAAAAACAAAGCTGGCAGGCTTTTTGTGGTAAAATTGGTAGAGCAACACCTGCCGGAGATGTGTGGAACATGATTAAGAACATGCGAGGAATCAGAAGGGAATGGCAGCATCCAGTACTGAAGATGGGGGAGGAAGCAGCAGTGTCTGACAAAAAGAAGGCAGAGATGATAGCGAAGGTACTTACTCTTATCCATAGTTCCGATAACTTGACGGAGGAGGGTAAGAGAGGAAGGGCGATGACAAGATCAGCACATGGCGACTTGCTTGATACTAACAGTACAATGGATGCTCCAATTACTATGGAAGAAATGAGGAGGGAAATAGCAAGATCTGGACTAACATCTCTGGGGAAGGATGATATTTGCTATGTAATGTTGGAACATTTAGGTGGTTTAGCAGCTACTAAATTGCTAGGTTTTTATAATAAAGTATGGGAATTAGGGAAATTGCCAGCTGGGTGGAAAGAATCAATAATTATTCCTATCAGGAAACCAAGGAAGGATTCGTCAAGTCCAATGAACTATAGGCCAATAGCACTTACGTCACATATAGGAAAGATAATGAAAAGAATCATTACAGAAAGATTATCATTTTACATGGAAAGCAGAGGAATTTTATCACCTCATCAGAGTGGATTTAGGAGGGGTAGAGGAACTATGGACCCTGTTATGCATTTAGAAAAAGAGATAAGGAAAGTGCAAGTTAATAAAGAATCTGTAATGGCAGTGTTCTTTGATGTAGAGAAGGCATTTGGTTTGGAAGGAGGGATTAATGATAAAATTAAAAATGATCAGAATAACAGATAGGACATATAACTGTATTAAAGAATTCTTATTTGAGAGAAGTATACAAGTCAGAATTGGGACAGCTGTATCAGGAAGGTATATGGTAGAGAATGGTACTCCTCAGGGCAGTGTCATTAGCCCTTTACTCTTTTCCATTATGATTAATGATGTTTTTTCTCAAGTTCAGGGTGATATTGCACAGTCACTGTTACCTGACGACAGAGCCTTGTGGAAAAGGGGAAAGAACATTAACCATATTAAGGGTAAAATACAAGAGGCAGTTAATGTGGTGGAAAGATGGTTACTTGCATGGGGATTCAAGTTTGCAATTGGGAAAACTAAGACAGTAGTCTTCACTAAAAAGAGAGGGGTCAATGCTCAGTTAAAGATGTATGGGCAAAAGATAGAGCAAGTAAAAGTCTTTAGATTTTTGGATGTGTGGTTTGATGATAAGTTAACATGGAATGAACATATCAGTAAGATAAATACCAAGTGTAATGAGATACTGAATGTGATGAGATGCTTAACAGGGTCAGAGTGGGGAGCAAGTAGGGCTGCTATTAAAAATGTGTGTATAGCACTGATTAGATCAGTATTAGACTATGGGTGTATCACTTATGGATCAGCAGCAAAAACGGCTGTTGTGGGTCTATAAAAACAACTCCTGTGTCTGCTCTTCAGGTAGAGGTGGGGGAAATGCCGCTGAATACTAGATGTAAACAGTTAATGATGCACTACTGGGTAAATCTGCAAGGGCAGTCTGACGATCGATATCCTACAACAAAGATAATTCTCCTATGTTGGGAGAGAGAAAGGGCCAAACGAGGGTGTTTTGCATGGAAATGTGGAGACATGACATTAAGTCAAGTCACCACTCTGGATGTTTCCTTCAGTGTCAGTTGACTTATATTTTTGGGGAAAAATGCAGCATCAAAAAGGTTGTGGAAATATTGTATTGGTTGAAGATGGGTTACAAACACTATATCAAACATTTGTCCAGATATATACAGATGGATCCAAGGATCCTATTACAGGCAGAACAGGTTTTGCTTTCAGTATTCCTGCCTTACACGTTTCTGTTAAAAGAAGGACATCAGATCATTTATCCGTATATACAGTCGAGATGTTGGCAGTTGTAACAGCATTACAGCGGATAGAAGAATTACAAATTAAAAAAGTTATTCTTTGTACAGACTCCTGCTCTGCATTAATGTCACTGCAGTCATTTACATCTCACAGCAGGCAAGACATGGTTATTGAGATTTATGAAACGTTGTACAGAATTAAAAAATGAACATGCTGATAACATTTATGTGGACCCCAGCTCACAGAGGGATTAAGGGAAATGAAGGTGTGGATGCATTAGCAGAACAGGCTCTGAAACATGAGGAGATCTTGTGCGTACCACTCAGTAAATCTGAAGCCAAAGGAAAGATCAAAAGAAACATCGTTAAGGAGTGGCAGAACAGTTGGGACACAGGAAATGCAGGGCGACATCTCTGTACACTACAGCAGGATGTGGGCACAGGAAGGACAGCCAGAAGAATCGATAAAGAGGAGAATATCTTGACAAGGCTGAGGGTAGGGCATACTAGACTTAATAAAACATTGCATTTAATAAACACGCACCCTTCAGGATTATGTGAACACTGTCAAATAGAGGAATCAGTAGAACATGTAATTCTTCACTGTCAAAAATTCTCTCGGGAACGAGAAACATTAAAGAGGGAAATCAGAAAGCTTGGACAGGAAGAATTGAGTCTAAAAGATGTATTTGACATTGAGGTAGGGAAACTATTTCATTATTTGAAACTGGATTGATCAATAGATTTTAGTGAACAGTGAAATAACTCTTTCTTTATGGTTTTGTTTTGCTTTGTTGTGTTTTGTTATGTTTATTTATTTATCTATCAAGGGATAGAAACTCTGGTCCCCACTCCAACATAGTAGGTGGCTGTAATCAGGGACGTGCACAGGGGGGTTGCTCTGGTTGCCCGGGCAACTGCCCGTTTGCCTTTCCTGACTCAAGTTGCCCTTCCGACTCGCCCTTCCGAGAAAAAAAAATAAAATAAAAAATAATCGCGATCGCAAAGCCTCATTCACTTCCATTCGGGCACCGAAAGTGAAAGTCAGTAGGGGAAGGGCAAACTCTGTTTAAGTGGCTGCACTGCTGCAGCGCTGCCTGCACGTCAGTCGATTCTGTTCCCTACCGGAATTCCTGTTTCCTTCCTTTATGCAATCATACTACAACAAATCATGCGTAGTTTTGCCCAGTTACCATACGTGATACGTACCAACAGAAGTGAATACGAGCTAGAAGCGCAACTGAATGTACGGGAAGCCAAAAGGTTAAAAAAGGATTGTATTTTTTTCCGAAATCTAAGCGTTTTTTTATTTAATATTTTATTAGAAGCGAGTTTTCCCCATCTGTCAATTCAATCTAGATTATTTATTTTCAAATAAAAAAAAAAAGGAAAAAAAATAAAAATAATAATGATTAAAAAAAACAATAAACAATAATATAAGGAACTCTTTTTCATGACTCGAGTCATGTTTTTCTGTTTTGTTATTAATAGTAGTTTAGGTTATTGAGTGCTGTATTTAAGTGTTTTTACTTTTTGTATATTTTTTAATAAAAAATGTTTTTTTCTCAGTCCTTCATATAGCCCATGTTTTTTTGTTTTTTTTTTTGTTTTTTTTGGGGGGGGGTGCCTTTTTTCAGGTCAGAGCAACTGCCCTTCAAAATTCCTGTGCACGTCCCTGGCTGTAATGCACCTTAACGCTGGGTGCCACCCGCCATTAAACGGAACGACGAAGAAGAAGAAGCAGCAGCGAAGTGAGGGTGTGGTTAATGTGAGCGGTGTCCAGTCTCAGGTAAAGATAAGCTGTGTAATGGCTGGTGGTTCTGGTGGTCTGTGAGATCTATTCGAGATCATAACTACGCCACGGTCCCTGGTCTCCCGTGAGTTTTACAGCACAAGAGGAAAGACTGCGGAGACAGCTAGGGTGCGTTTTTAGAAAAGGACTACAAAAGGACTACAAAAGGACTACAACAGGTAACGTCAAGTTTAGGGTAACAGGAAAAAATGGTAACCAAGTTTAGCTGTGTTTGTGAGTGCAGCTCAACGGTGGTGCAACTGTAACGTTAGACCCAAGGTGACTCCAGCAATCCGGTACGTTAACGTTAATTCGGTCAAGAAAAGTCAGAATTGATTTAATCCAGCAGACGGTTGACTCTTCAAAGATTTAACCTAAGCATCCGCTAGCAGCTTTGGGGCTTTGGGCTTAATGTTAGACTTTTGCGTTGCTTTTGCATGTTGTAATGTAACGTTAATTCCAAAACTTATGCAACAATATTTCCCAGATGAGAAATTATTTTACAATGGGCCTATGTTAGGCCCATTGTGTTAGGCCCATTGTAAAATTTGATATCACAATACAGGGTGTCCGCGGGGTCTTAAAAGGTGATAAATCAATTTTGCGACAATTAAGGCTATTAAAAAGTCTTAATCGCCATATAACAAGGTATTACATTTTGAAGATTTTTTTTTTCAATGTGAAAATCTTGTTTGTCCAAAAGTTTGTTTGCTAAAAGTGTAGATGAACGTATTTATGTATTCATTTACTTCAGTTTCAGTGTTGGCAGAGCTGATATACTGATTAACCATTTCTTTAAGCGGATTTTAAATTAGCTTGTATGGATCCAGTTCTGATAAAGCGGTTAGGATCGAGTTTCATTCTGACGCAGCTTTAAACCGAAAATGCAGACTGACTGAAATTACTTTTTCTTAACGGGATAATACAACAATCAATCAATATGCTCCAGGATCACATGAATCAACACCTATCAAACGTCCTATCAAAACGTGTCACCTTATACAAAACCATAGCCTATAGCTACCGTGCTTGGTAAATAAAGGAATTGCCTAATGTTCGCAGTGGCCAAATGGTTTTGTGTGTCCTTTACCCTGTGTCTTTATTCTATTCCTGGCTTTCCACCTGACCTGTATGTGATCCTGACATCTAAAGCTCATCTAAATTCCATTTCTCTTTAACTTTCCATTTGTGTCCATGTCCTTAGCAATTATTAAACCTTCCCCGTATAAATTAAGTAATCTCCTTGTGAAGTGTTTAATTATTTTTAAACGCTTTAAGGTTAAAATGTCCACCTTAGCTGGCTTTCCCTAAAATTAACTTTTGGCCAATTAAGTCAGCTCTGACAATTTTATTCCTTGGTAAGTTTTAAGGTTAACATAGAATGCCTTGCGAAAGTATTCGGCCCCCTTGAACTTTTAGACCTTTTGCCACATTTCAGGCTGAAAACAAAAAGATATAAAACTGTAATTATTTGTGAAGAATCAACAACAAGTGGGACACAATTATGAAGTGGAACAAAATTTATTGGATATTTCAAACCTTTTTAACAAATAAAAAACTGAAAAATTGGGCGTGCAAAATTATTCAGCCCCCTTAAGTTACACTTTTTGCTGCGATTACAGCTGTAAGTCGCTTGGGGTACGTCTCTATCAGCACATCTACCAGACTGCGAAACAACACATAAATGCACTGATTACATATTGTTCTCAATTAGTTTTTATCACCATTTAATGACTGCTTTTATTAGTCTAAGTAGAAATCAACCGCAAATTTAGGAAATGTGGGTCCTGTGGGTCATATTAGAGGGATGGAACGGTTGGAGGGCTCAGAAACCTTATTTCAAGTCAGTGACATGCATTTTTGACATTAGGCAATCTGAAGAGTTTTAGAGAATTTAATCAATGTGTGAAAGAGCCATATAATTAGAGCTGAAACAACTAGTTGATTAATCAGTTAGTCTAGTTGAAATTAATCTGCAATAAACTTTATAATTGATAAATCAACACTTGGTTAAATCAAGCAAAAATGGGTTTTGGACACTTTTTTAGTCAGACAAACCAAGACATTTTAAGACATGAAGGCTCACTATCCTCAATGATTTAATTTTCTGTAATGATAATCATATAACTGATTCTTCAAACGTTTCAACAAAAATGGAACATTTTAAACGTTAAAGCATGTGTAACGTGATGTAAATCGGCTTAGCTGGACACCACTAAAACTCTAAAATCAACCGTTTGTGTTACTGTTCTGCATTATTTGGTCAGACTTAGTACTCTCACTAACTAGACACGTGGCACAGCCAAAGTGAGATACCAAACACATTAAAATATTTATATCCTTTTCTCTGAAAGAAGACACATTTTAGCAGTCTCTAGACTCTTTGAAACCCACTGGTTGGCCAAGTCCAGAAATAATACTTGGTAATAATGGTTCTACATATGACTACATATACTGATTTATTGGCAAGATTCAATACACTTGAGAATGTGTACCCACTTTTTGGTCCACTACTCAACTGTCAAAGCATGCCCTTATTGAATTTTGATTTAATGAAAAAAGGTGATTTGGTGCAAACAATTAGATTTACATGTGCAGGATATGGCTTAATACATTGTTGGTATCAACTGAAATGTGCAGCACTCAGTGTTGTATTGAAACTTTGCTTTTATGTTCAAAGTTCTCATAAATGTGTTTGTGGTTAGACAACATTTGAGAAATTCAGCAACGTCTTTTGTTAATTGCAAAAAGGGGTATAGTAGAAAAGATGTATTTCATTATAGAAAAAGATATTGTTGGTATCAGTATCCAAACATGGTATCACATTAGAACTAGTATCAAAACATTTCAATGATGCTGATAAGCATGACATTCATATTGAGGGACACGGTTTTGTTATTTTTTTTTTATTTTTTTTTTACAGCTTTTGTAATTGAAATTTTAAGCATTAAATTGTGTTTTTATTTTTCTCAAATGTGGTATTGTGTGTTACTGTTTTATCTAAATTATATTTGCTAAGACAAGTGCTACCATTTTATGATAATGTGAGTCTCTTTTCTTTTGTAGTTATAATGAATACTGGAAGGAAATACTTAAAACAGAAATTACTCTGCATCCTGGGAGCAGTGACGATCCTCCTCATCTATCTCAGCAGCTGGAGTTGTCTGGGTCTAAAAACAGCACTGTCATGGGACGATTGTGGGCCTTATGTGGCCTATCCACAAAACTACAAGTTCATCATGGATGACACACCCACGTGTAAGACCAGGAGTCCTTTCCTGGTCCTGATGGTTCCGGTTGCACCCAGTGACGTGGCATCTCGGGAGGCTATCCGGAAGACATGGGGAAATGAGAAACTGGTTCTGGGTCAGCTTATCGAGACTGTCTTCATACTTGGCCTGCCTGGAGGAGCTGATGCTGAGCAGCAGCAGGAGAATGTCAAACAGGAGAACCTGCTGCACCATGACCTGATCCAGAGTAACTTCCAGGACAGCTACCGCAATCTGACCATCAAGACTATGATGATGCTGCAGTGGCTGGCTGTGCGCTGTGTAAAGGCTTCCTATGTCATGAAGATTGACACAGATATGTTCCTCCATGTCCAGAATTTGGTTAAACTGTTGCTGGATCCCAGCGTGGCCAAACAAAACTACATAACAGGTTTGGTGTGGTGGCACAGCCCGGTTTTAAGAAACCCATTCAACAAGTTCTACATGCCGAGATACGTGATTGCGGAGTCAGAGTACCCTCCATATCCTCTGGGCATGTCCTACATCATGTCCATGGACTGCCTGGAAAGATCCTAGGAATCTCTTCTCAGATTAAACCTGTTTATATTGAAGACGTCTATCTGGGTATGTGCCTAAAACTTCTGGGCATTTCCCCCACCGACCCCCTGAAAATACAATGTTTATTGTCACACCCAGTCATCCTCTGAGCGACTGCAGCCTTTCAAAAGTGATTGCTATAACAACAACAAGCATCCCGCAGATGATGCGTTACTGGGAGAGGAGCAAACAGCCAGATGCTAAATGCTGACTTCATCAGGTTGACTGAAATTAGACCTGTTTAGTGGTAAGATGACCCTTTTTGTGTATATTTAAAATAAACTAAAATGGAGCACATTTATTATGTGTTTACAGACAACATGGAAGCACCTTGCTTTTTGGTTGGAAAGAAAAGACAAAACAGATTTAAGGATTAACATCCACCTTGTATCAAATGTACTTCTCAGCCAGCTGAACTACACAGACTTTCTGAGCTGTATCAGCTCTCAGAGATGAGAACATCTGCTGGCCACAGAACCAGAGTGTTAGAACCTGACTTGTCCAAAAGAGTTGTTTAGTTAAAAACATCTGTTGTAGCCTCATTTTGATATACGAAATTCCATATTCCTCAGTGTTCAAAAGATATTGTGCTCTTCACTCAGTTGCTGATCAAGCCCCTGTACAGTTGTAGTTGGTCACTGTTCCAGAAGAGGGCAGTCTAACATCAGCTTAAACCCACTGCATCAAATCCTCAGGATTTCTCAGGCTAAATTACCATTCATTTTTTTTTTTTTTTTTACTATTCAGCAGATTATCTTTCAAAATTGATCAACAAAGCCCTTCTCATGACTGTTTACTTGATAAGAGCAATTACGGTAAAGCTTTTCTTCTGTTACCTGAACTTGCTGCTACAGTATTTTCAATTTCATCATAGTCTGATATAGCATGGCAATTTAGGGAAACAGGCTACCAAACAGTGCTGTGGGAACAAAAAGAAAAATAATCTCATGAAGCTGCAGTGGCAAAGTACCACCAAACAGATTAAAATAAATAAATAATTTATAATTGTCTGATTAAACACAAATTATTTTAAGGAGGGCACACTGTGATGTGACCTGGCCATGAACTAGACATTCAGCTGGCTATGGCGTAAAATTAGGAGGGGTGTCGGCAAATGACTGAAGTTGATTGTTCTGAACTTGTCACAAATGTCACTGTAAACGTGTGCACACTGAATTAAATGTGAAAAGGAATAAACAACCCTTTGGTGATACTGCAGTTTTGTTGGTAATTTTTTGACATAAGGCTATTTACAGAAAACCTGAGCTGAAGAAACCTCTCGGTTTCTTCAGCCAACCAGCTGTCCTGGATTTTATCCCACCTTGCACAACTATGACCTGGATGAATCTTCCGGTATTTTCAGAAAAGCTTTATGTTGTACTTTGTTGTACAGTATTTTTCGTTGTGTGTCGTATGTCAGTAAGGTCGACAAAGTCAATTTAAGGTTTTTAAATCAAAGCTTGAGACCTACTTATTCCCTGCTGCCTATGAGTCCTAAATCTTTCTTTATCTTTGATGTCTTTGTATAGTGGTATTTACTTTTCAGTGTTTCAATTTAAATTTTATTATACTGTTTGTATTTTAATTGTATTGTTTTTATAAAGCACTTTGATTGAAAGCGCATAAACAACCATAAATGAATGTATTAATTTTATAAATGCAAATACTTGGTGTCCTTCATGGGTGAAACTCATAAGCAGATAGCATGAAATGAAAATGTGATTTGAGCAGAGGCCTTCTAGGCAGACTGTCCAAAGAACAAAAGCATAAGCAATTGATTTTTCTAAATAAATCAATTTAACATTTGTAAATGCAATGAAAAAAAAAAAAACAAACCATGCTTGGATACAGCTGGGTCATTCTCTCCTCTTGTTTAAGTGTTAACTTAGAAAAGAAAAGTGGACAGTGACCTTACCTTGGCAGTCTCTTCCTCTCTGACATGAACAGTCTTGTCCCATGTGTTCTCATTCATCTCCAGCTGTCTATGATCTGTTCTCCCTCTGTCAGATAAGGGAGGATCCCTGAAGTCAAAGGCCCTGCTCTCTCTTTTCCTGCTGACTGCAGCCTGCATAAATCACACAGATGCTGAAAACCCAAACTTTGGATCCACACATTATTCATTGTTTTTGCTGCCATCTAACGACATAGATCATCCTCAGTGGTTGGCATTACAGCTTAAATTGCTGTTGGCACTATCCTCTGTACAATTTCATGCCTGACAAATAAAAATATATTTGTGTGACTCCTGTCAACGATGTAGGACAGTGTGTATTTTATGTACAGTTTGAGCCACCACGTCAGCGCAGGATAACACATTCGTTTTTGTCCTCCTTCAGATGTATATATTTCCTCCTCCACTTCCTTTCTGTGCCAACCAGACATTTTGTTTGCGCGTGTGTCTGCTGCCTCTGTGTTAGACACATTTATTGTCTCACTATTTGAGGTATGAACATAACTCTCGCAGAGATTACGCAGATGATCCAATTTGTACACACACAGCTACAGAGGAAGTTGCTTGTCTTCTTTTCTTCCTTTGATACTCTCAGACAGGACTGAGTTGATGGATTCCTATTATTATAGGCTATTATTTGTTGTGTGTAATATCTGTGTGTGTGTGTGTGTGTGTGTAGCAGGTTGGGGATGGGGTTTTATTTGTGTTCCTTTCCTTATTTTAAAACAATTACAGGTCTGAGACAGAAGTTAATAACAACCAGTTAAACATACAAAAAGAGAGAGAGACCCACAAAGACAAGACATCAGAAAGCAAACCTTACACAAGATAAAGGAAAAAACTATTGCTAGTATTGTTATGTTAAATAGACATACGACTTAAATAAATAGTTTTAAAGATATATTATTAAGAAAATTGGACAGTGCCATTGGAAGGCAGGTATCTGTTTTTGTATAATTTTCAAGGCCTATTATTCATTCACCCCAGCTAAAGTTTGTTTTAAACTTAAATCCAAACTCACATTACAACCTCAGTCTGATTTAGTCATGAAGATAAGCCATAAATTACCCAAAAGTCCAATCTCACGCTATTCCTCAAGCATACAACACATATACAGAAATGATACCATCCTCCCCCCAATATTCTCCAGTTTTAGACGCCGACCAGGTGTTGTTGTAATGTAACCCCCACCGCCCCGCCGAGCCCCTTGCAGACCGGCTGTCCTCTCTGTCACCCTGAGAAAACAGGTCATATACTTCAGCTGGTCCTGTTTTTGGCACAGACGGACAGATAGGCACACACACAAACACAAAGCCTTGTGTCACTATCTTCCCTAACCCCTTACCCTAACTTTAGCCATCACAACTAAGTGCCTAACCCTAAAACCAAGGCTTGTACTCAAACAGCCCTCTAACCAGTCTTATGTTAAAGAAGATACAACAGAGGTCTTCAACTGCACCAATACCCCAAATAATGTAGGTTCCCCACTAGAAAAGTAAATTTTACTGATGAGTACAACTTCATGATTAGGGAAATAAAAGGAGATTTATTATAAATTGACTGTAGGTCCTCTAAAGGCAGTTGTGGAGTAAAGCAAAGCATATTTGTTTGGCTAAGTATCTTTCAAGCATCATTATGAATAACCAATATTTTTGAAATGACTATGTGTAATGTGAAGTGGTTCGTAGTCATAAGCCCAGTGAGAATTATCACCCGATTCTGCAGGCTCCCACCTCTATGGAGCTTTTTAGCGTCTTTCAGCTAGTTGTTATTTGTTTGTGTTTTTTACGAATCACAACTTTATTGTTTTGATTCAGTCTCACTGCTGTCATCATAAACCCATACTTATTACCCAAAATTAGCTAACGTAGAGGAGCATTTAGCAGCGAAAGAGCCAGATATTTTCCTTAGGAGTTCCTTAGGAGTTTGATGGAAATCTAAAACAGTGATAAAATGGTTAGGGGTGAATATTGTACTTTTGTCAGGTTGCCATAAAAACGACTCCAAATAAATGCAAATTTTGCTTCCTGTCTGCTGGATGTGTAAATGTTTGTATAAATTATTTCTGCTTTAAATCATTTATTATTGAAAATTATTCCAAAGTAATTAAGATGATTAACCTTGCTGACTTGAAATGAAGTAGGTGCCACATGTGCCTTTTATTGGTCAACCAACAATGATCAAACAGATCACAAAGGTCTATTGAAAAGGCCAACTAAGATCAACAGCTAAATCTAATATCATCAATACCACACCAGCCTCAGTAAACATTAAATGAGAGAAAATCTATGTTAGCTTTGAAGTTAATCAGTATGTAAATCCATTTTCTGTTATCATTGTCAAGTTCAGTGTCTGAATTGGGTCACACTCTGTTATTTGATGCTGTTACTTTAAAAGCAAATACTTTATTACCAGTTCCCATCCGAATCCAAAATATCTGACTAAACTAACACATGTCCACACACACACACACACACACACACACACACACACACACACACACACACACACACACACACACACACACACACACACACACACACACACACACACACACACACGAACACACACACGAACAAACCATTAATGTGAAGGTAAGCCAGAGTCTGTGGTGATTTAGGGGTAGCAGACAGTGGAAGGGTATAGGCCAAGCTCTGGGTCTCATACTATCTCTGTCCATTCACCAGCCCATAAATAATCACACACCCTCACAGTGACATGAGGGAAGATGCAGTTTGAGATGAAGGACAGAGGGAGTAAGAAAGAGAGGATGTGGTGTCATTTGATGAACAGAGAGCTAAAGCAAGAGTGCAGAGAGATGAGAGCCGGACGACAGGTGTGGGAAAAGAGAGAAATACAGACGCCCTGCTGGTTCCAGTTCTGGAACAAACACGGTTCCTGTTGGAAACAGTTTGATCAGTTTGCACTACAGACACAATCACAGTACTTATATACAAATTTGAAGTACTTGTACTTTACTTAAGTATTTTCTTTCTATGCCACTTCTTTACTTCTCTACTTCCACTACATTTCGTAGAGATGTTCTCCACTACAAATATTTGACAACTTAAAATAAACTAACTAACTAAAGACTAACTAAAAGAGCTTATAAAATATGATGTTTTGTTATAAATGAAACTACTGAATAATATATTGAGCTGAATTGATTATTCAATAAATCAATTCAGCTGTAGTTGTTAGAATTAATTGGCTATTTTGATAATTATTTAAATAATTTTTCATGCAAAAACATTTCATGG